GGACTCCGTTCCCGGGGACGCAGGAGGCGGAGGGACCCGACGTTCCGGGCCGTCGGGCGCCGACCCGCCAGAAGACGGGGGGGTGTTTACGCGAAAGCCGTCCGGCCGGAAACACACTCTCGAAGGAACGGTTCCAAGAGCCCCCAGTTCCGATGACCTGAATTTCGGTCGTTCTTTGCAACAAGTATTTGTCACGTGTCTCCCATATGCCAGCTTCTGGGAATAAAAATGGAAAAGAACCAGGACGAAGTCGTCCCTGCCTTCCTTCCCCTTGGAAGCGACAAATCGTATTTTTACTGGATACGTGCTTCAACAAGGAACTCTCTTAGACTTCGTGGGGGCGACAAAGACCAAAATATGAGTGGAAATGTCTCACCTACCTGAGCACCTGCGAGAAACAGGGAAGGATAACACAATTAGGAGACTGAGATTCAGAGACGGGCATGGCCATGTTCAGCATCACTGAAGAATGATGTATAGGGTGATTTCGAAAAAGGTTCTTTAGTGTCTCAAATTCAACAGAGGCCCACGAAGCTAATGCAGCTTAAGCTTCTGAGGCTCCTCACTTGCACAAGTCTTTCCCTGGGTAATGAGTGTGGACAATTCAGAGCAGTTAAAATTATCAACTGCTCAAAATAAAATTGCAACGCCCACATCACATATGGGACCAACAACACTTTTAGGGGTCCTCGAAAAAAAAAAATTAATTTTGAAATTAGAAGAAAAAAGAATGCAATCCAGCCTAGTTTAGGTTCATCTTTATATCAACACAGTCATGAAATATTATTTTAAATATATCTTTTGGAAATAAGGGGCATACGAAGGCAGAACTGCCTGGGCCCATGAAAGCACTGGAGACAGTGACCAATGTCATATCATTTCACATATGTAGCAAAATAAGAAAGACATGTATGTGAAAGAGAAACCGAAAATGCAAGCTCACCCTCAGGTGAGGGAGGGAAGAGAATGGGGGGGGGAGGGGAACGACGACGACACAGAAGGCTTAGATTGCATCTGTAATGCTGTATATTTTAAGTTTATTAGTGAGTATGGGGAGTTGCTTATATTATTCTGAATACTTTTTTTGTATACAGAAATAGTTCATTATAAGATAAATATAAATAAAAGACTCCCTCTGTGTATTAGTCAAGATAGAATAGGTTATGCTGCAAACAACCCCAAAATTCAGTGGCTTGATAAAACAAATGTGTATTTTAAATGCTCCATCTCCAAGGAAGATCAGCACTAGGTTGTGTTCACTGTAGACACTCTGGGACTCAGGCTGAGTGGAAACTCAAGTTCAACCAGCAGATTCCCAAGGACAGAACAGCAGGGACTTGGTGACTGCCTCCCTGGCTCTCTCTGTGAGCTGAAGTTCACACGCATCGCTTTCACGGACTCTTCACTGGCAAATACACACACACACACACACGACCACGTCTAACTGCAAAGGAAAGTGCAGTCTTACCGTGTTCCCAGAAGGAGGAAAAACATGGAATTTAGGAATGATCGTAATTTTTAGGCATGTCCTACGCTGCCCTTCCACAGAAAGCGTTTAAGGGTGCTCGAAAGGTCTTTCCAGTCTCTTTCCCCACTGGGTTTCCACAGCGCCTCTACAACTTTACACACGAGAAGATGCGCACGTGGCCCAGAGGAGTGCGGCGACTTCTCCAAAGTCACACAGCCAGGCCGCGGAAGGAGTAAGTGAACGACTAAGAAGAGCCCAGCCCTGTCCTCGGTGCTGCCGAGACGCCCAGCTTTTCCCAAACGTCACACCAACCTGCGGCTTCCAGCGACATCCCAGCACCACCGGTGTTGCTGTCTGCAGAATAGCCTTCTGTAAACGGACTTTGAAATCCTTCCGTTCGTAAACTTTGCTTCACTGCGTTATCCTGAGCCACGCGGAGCAGGTGACGACCACAGCGTGCAGTGGGAACACACAACAAAGGTTACTCAACTCGCGAGGGCCGACCGACAGCCAGAGCCGCCTAATGCCCGTTAAAAAGGGAAATCCGAGTCAGCTCGCGGCGCCTCGGCGGCCCACGCAGGCTGTGTCCTCGCCGGCGCTGGGAGGCAGGGGCAGGTAAATGTGGACGGCAAGGCGCCCCTCTCCGGGGGCGGGGCTACGCACGC